AGAATTTTAAAATAACTAAACATGTAATAAAAAGAAAAATAGTCTCTTCAAAAGTAGTGTGTGAACCAAATTTTATTTTAATAATAATTATAATAATATCTGTCGTGTTCTAATGTAAAAATAAACAATCCAAACGGACTAATTTTTTTTGTCTTTCAAAGCACAATAATTAGTTCTCATCTAAATCAGAAGACACTATTCAAAACAAAGACGAGCAGATTGTCATTTGAAAACTTAACGCGCTGTAATGCGTCATTTTCTTTCGTCTACATCTATTATATATTTTTTTTTAAATTTCTATTAGGTTTTAACAATATTATCATTTTTAATAGGACAAATATCCCAAAGCGAGATTAAAACGAACTGATTTTAAACAAGAAGATAATTTTCTTATATGGTCAAATAGATTATGTGACATGTTTTAATGTTCATTGTTAGCTTCCCCATTAATTTATTGTATTAACTAGAAAAATGTGAAAAATTAATTCGAAACAAATTCTAACCTTGTAAGTTATTTGGCAAGAAGGGGGGGGGGATACACAGTTGACCCGAGGATTATTTGCTGTTTTACAACCAAATTATTTTTTAACTTGGAAACTTGGCCGACGCGTATTTACTAAAACTAAACCATTTTAGGAATCTAAAATTAGATTAAAACTCATTTCCTTCCCCGATCTGAATGAAACATATTTTATAAGCGTTATCGTATTCATACTGCGACTAAGTGAAGTTAATTGAAGTCACATAATTTCGAAAAACACAATCTCTATAGCGTCAGGACTGGCTTAAACAGATTTCTTACCTTACTTACTGCGATTCTGTGACTCGCGTTTCTTCTCTTCTTAATCCCGTTCATGCCCAAGGCACATGGGGCAGATGAAGTAAAGTTCATCTGATTCATTGACCTCGGCATATGAAGGGATAGTGTGGTCAGCACTATGCCTAGCCGCCTTTGTTGCCCTAACATGAGTTAGGTACCCATCAGAGCTGGGCGGACTCAGAGATGTTACACTGATTTGAACTAGAGACTCTTGGATTAGGAATCTAGCTCTCTACCGCTTGGCCACGCCTGATAACTAATTTGGTCTATCATAATATTTAAACATTATTTCGAAACCAATTCTTACATAAGTGAAGAGTTTAACTTAAAAAACGATTCGACTAAAGGACAACAGACAAAAGTGTTTCCCGCGTATATTATCTCAAAATGGTCTTCGAAAAGATGATAGCGACTATAAGGCTCTCGACGCTTTGTTCATTTACATATTGACTCGTTGGAAGCAAATCCAAAAAAGAAAAGTCGGAGTCAACAGCCTCAAAGGTGCATAACCAGTTGACACGTATCCTTAATTGTGTTGGAGGGGATCACTTCCAACTCTAAAATTAAGAACGAAGAAGAAGATATTGACCTGCGACAAAAAAAGTTCAAAGAAAGATAAAAAAATATATATTTTAAAACTAACTCGTAAAAGAGAAAACCAAGGAGAAGCTACTTATACGTTAATTAAATGTACTAATCCAGATAAGTAATATAATATATCACATACAATGCTTCTAAGTAAACGGATTAATTGCGTTACATTATGATATCTTAAGAATATCTAATTGTAATTCGTTTTCCTTTCTTTTTTTCAAGGCACGACAGTTTGTATAATGCTATGCGGTTACGTGAATTCCAGATTGAGATATTCGACAATGATCCCACATCAAACTTACTCTCTAATAATGGCAGAATTTGTTATCGACAGACAGCAGCTGTTCCAATAGGGACATTCACGTGGAACTGTAGCCAACCACTTAGAGGCCGTTACGTCAGATTATTTAGGTATGTGAATATATATATATATATATATATATATATATATATATATATATATATATATATATATATATATGTGTGTGTGTGTGTGTGTGTTTGTGTGTGTGTGTATACTAGCTGTCCGGCCAGACTATGCACAGGCTATTGTGAAAAACTTAAATGTAAAAGAACGTTCGTAACGTGACCCCCTTCTACTTGAATCTAATAAAGGAAGCTAAAATTGTGCTTATTGTTGTCTTTAATAATGCACATAACAGGTTTTTTTTTCTGTTCTCTTATAAATGGTATTTCTAAACCGACAAAATAGAATTCCGGATTTTGAACTTAGTAGAAATTAATTTTTTTTTTTTATTTAAATTTTGATAGCATTTATCTTTTATCAGATTTACGGAAGAATGTCTCAATTTTTGTGAACTGCAAGTGATGGCCTCGTCCAAGGCAGTAGAGTTCACTACTTATAAAAACTACAAGAACAAGAGACTAAACATGACGTCGTTATTTGATCTCACCGTGTCCAACGCTATGCTATGTGGCTCCCAATGTCTAGAGAAACGTTACACAGACGGCTGTACTGCTTTCAACTGGTTCCATTCTACACGTCTGTGTCAACTGTTGAGTTTAGACCCAAGAGATGTCACTGTTGTAACTAAACTTGTCTCAGTCTCTGATGTTGAGTTCTATATTACATATTATTAGCGAAGCTTATAGGAAGTATTGATTAGCCCCGGGGTCTCCAAACTACGGCCCGCGGGCCGAAAGCGGCCCGAGAGGTCCTCTCATCCGGCCCGCTGAGATATTTTGTTTCTGAATGTGGCTGAGGAATTTTGCCAAAAAATTCAAAATTATTTGAAAATGTAGCTTTGGTTGTTGCAGAAATTGGTGAAAACATTGTGACTCAAATATTGAAAAATGCAAGCAAGTTTCGATATTTTCCACTTGCTATTGATGAATCGCTGGATAGCTGTTCCACCTGTCAACTGCGTGTGTTCATTAGAGGTGTGGATGAAGACATGAACTTAACACAATAGCTGGGGGGGAGGGGGAGACGGTCTGGATGGGGGAGGGTTTCCGACACCCCAATGAGATGTATGGAAGAAACTGGCGCCCGAACTAATATTTGATAGTTAGTGCGGCCCTCGTGATGAAAAGTTTGGAGACCCTTGGGTTAGACGATAACGTCCCGGTCACATAAAATACAGTGATGTTTTTTCGCATAGCAACCCCACTATTTTGCTTTTATCACTTATAAAATAAAACGGAAGTGATCTCCCCTAAATTTCCTCGTATATTTAATTTAATTTTAAATAAAATAGAATGGCGCAGAAAAAAAAATCATAAATGAACAAATAAACATAAACAATGGATAATTAGTTCTTTATTTTTTTAAATGTTAATTGAGCACTTAATTAAGCCAAATTTTATATCACAATGCATTGTCATCGAGTCTAGACCTACATGGAAAGTGTTAAAGAAATCGGTCCGGTAGAAAAGATCTTCTTTTCAGAAACGAAAAAAAAAAAGAGTAAAGTAATACGCCCGTTCACCGGAATTCACTCAAGCTTTGAGTAAATCAAGAGAATTGGATCTTTTACATATGTTAAAATTTCGTCCAACTTACTGAAAGGGTAACGAAGTTATTGCTATTTTAGAAACTGGAAATAAAATAAATTACCACTTTCGTTAATGGGATGTCACGCAACAATTGAAATTAATTCAGGTATAAGATCTTATACTTATATATGAAATTCCGTCTACTTAGCTGAAACAGTACTAAAGTTAAAGTGTTCATACGAAAGTGTTCTCAGGTCAATCGGTCTGTCATAGCTGTCCATAGGTCACTCGGTCAGTCATAGCTGTCCATAGGTCACTCGGTCTGTCATAGTTGTCCACATGTCATTTGTTCTGTCATAGCTGTCCCCAGGTCATGAGGTATGCCATACTTAGCTGTCCACATATTGCAGATGTGCAACTAGCATTCAAGTTTGTTTTTTTCAAAACAGGAAAATGAATTCTTTAATTAAACAACCTTTTAACTATAGTAACTCAATTGCGTAAAGCTAACTATAAATACACTACAAATCAAATGTAAAAAAAAAACCAGCCTTGAAGCAGTGGAAGACAAAGCTATCTAAAGAATTTTTAAAAATACCATACCAGTTTGAAGAGATAAAGAAAACATAAATATACATATCCCCATATATATACATATATATACGTGTATATATATATATATATATAAATATATACATATATATAAATATATATATATATATATATATATATATATATATATATATATATATTAATATATATATATATATTTATATATATATTTATATATATATATTATTTATCTCTTTCACTTTTTGTAATGTAACCGCACATACATGTTGAATCCACACAGTGCCCACGTCATTTAAACTCTATTTTCACGTCTACGGGTTCTACAGGCTTACTATTTAAATGTGTTTGGTTAACTAGAATGTAACAGGTGTACAGTCAAGGTGCACAATGCTTTTTAGTAGCACTGTAGAAATACCAGTATTTCATCTGAAGAATGATGAAAATGTAAATATAGATAAAATAACACCCGCTTGTGTTTAAAGTAATTCCCATGTTGTAGTAACGTAAAAACCACTAATTCACTACCATGAATTTAATGTAATCCTAAATTAAATAATTGACTTAGTACCTTCATAATAGCATGTACTTCTAAAAATAAAAATATAAAATACTTAGATATAATTTTGTGTTTCGGTGTTATTGATATTTTATTTCAATTTATCCTGTTTTATTATACCGTGTTTTAAAGTGTTCTTTTATTTTTAGTAGAGTTTGTTGTGTATTTTTACGTGATGTGTTGTTAATTTTTTTAAAGTGTTGTGTTTCTGTTATCATTTTGCTTGTATTGTGTTGTGCTTTGTGTTTAATGTTGTGTATTTGCTTTGTGTTATTCGTTACGACGTGTAGACTGTTTGTTTTTATTGTTATTTTTATTTTCTCGTTATATGTTTTATATGTTGATATGTTGGATGTTTGTTTTTTTTTTATTATTTCTCTTATAATATTCTAATTTTTAAAGTATGCTTAAGTTCTATTCTATTTTCAATTTCTGATACAATACCTGCATTTAATGATAAAAAAAATTAATTCGCGTCTGTATCTTTTTTAACCTAACTACACATGAATTTGGATGAGTCTGGCTTGACACCTTTAACGTCTTTCATTATAACTTTGGACAAGGTGATCCCAAATATAAATACACCAACAGCGATAAAAATTATGGCGACCCCTCTTAAAACGTGAACTAGTATAGCCTGTTTCTCGCCTGATTCTAGTCTCTCCTGCACCGTCTTTAACAAACACAGACCTGGGAAAATAATTAAACAAATAAACTGCTACGTAAGTCTTAGCTTTGAATGTATCACAATACGATTCATTTACCTGGAAATATAAAAATAAACGCTCCTGCAAAAGCTCCAAGGATCTCCATGACCACGCCTATATTTGGTATAAAAATTGACAGTATCAAGGTCAAGGTGAACCACACCAATGTCGTTATGACGCGTCTCATCTTTTCTCTGTACAAAATTTCTTCTGGGCTCATTTTCCACAACACGCCCCACACTGTGTCAAACGCTGCCCTGTGGATATATTTAGATAACCTGGGACTGTGCTGTTAAAATATACATCTCATATCTCTTTTATATCTGTTACTACAAGATAATGCGTTGTGAGATTTTATATTTATATTTAAAACAACGAACCAGATTTTAAACATATGTCGACTGATAATATATAGAAAACAATGGCAGTGTACTGTAATGAGCAGTAATGCGAAGTATTGATTAAATATATTTTAAAAGTGTATACTGTACTTAGCAATGAATCTGTTTAGTTATTCATACCATTGAAATTATTTAAAATGAATTTAATTGTTTTGATGCTACTGTTCCCGCTTCGTGTTTTAATTGCTTGTACATGCAGTCTAAGCAACGTTAAATAGACCAAATAAGAGCATTAAAAAATTTAAAAGACTTTTGTACCTCGATTTATGACCGATTACAACATTACTTTGACGTAATCACTGCTAAATATACTTTTACAATAACATAGTTTTTAATTGTATTTTTCTTTAGCTTTAAGTTTTATTCATTCACAAGGCCCGTATTTATTTACGTGACGGCGTTTGTCAAACAAAAGAGTCTGCAAGCCCGAAGGTCTCGAATTCGGATATCCGTTTCGGACTTGTCAATGTTAACGTCCGTGTGTCGATACAGCTCTAAAAAGTACCCAACATCCGTTGGAGAAAGTAACTGCTAGGAATATGCTGATCATACATACTATCCCTTTATATGCTGAGGTAAAAAAAAATAGGAACGATACTTCATCTAAATAGAAATCGTATGCATTTAATTTAATCAACTGCAGTGATATTGAGATAATTAATTTTTTTTCTGATATGTCATATAATTTGCATAAACTTAAATAATTTAATCTTAATCGTGTGTGACTTACTTTCCACAGAAGCAATTTATAGGGTAGGTTGTGTACGTTTTGACCGCAAAAAGAACAACAGCCACCATCACATCAGTCGTGGGGTTAAATGACAGCAATATGTCATTTGTTACATTTTCACCAAACTGGAAAAATTACATTTTTCGTTTAAATTTCCTGTGTATTTTGAAAATAATTTAACTATATCATACGTAAAGTTAGAACCTAATTAAAAATTCAAGAGCTTTAAAAAAACGCGACTTAAGCTTCATTTTGAACAAACAACAATCGTCTATTTGTTGAACGTTAAACAAAAACACAAACACCTTCCATATAACATTACAAAACCTGTAGATATCCCAGAGACGCAGTGACCGTGTATGTTACGACAAACAATACCATGGAAAGTGTTACTGTTTTAGAGAACTCTCTCATGTTACGCTTGGCCATACAAGAGTAGATTGGAACTAAGGCGATTTGACACTGAAATTAGTAACATAAGGAAACATTTTTATTTTAATAGTATATCGTAGAGAGTGCAGAAAACAAGTATAAATAATTAATTATAATTAAGACTACAAATAGGATAGGAGAAATACGCATATAGCAAAATAATATACTTCATCTGATGAATTTTAAATTTATATATGTAAAAACTAGTCTATCACTGTCAAAGAACAATGCAATTAACAATACAAAAAAATCATTAAAAAAACGTTTTAGTAAGAAGTTTTTATGTAACAATACACTAAAAAGTAGAAAATAAATTATACACCACTATTTGAAATGACTATAAATAAAAGCGTGGGTCACTTTAGTATTCATTGAATACCTTTTCTAATATTTAGGAAGAGACTCACGCTTTTCTTTATAGTTATTTAAATAGTGGTGTATAATTTATTTATTTTCTACTTTTTAGTGCATTATTATATTAAAGCTTGTTATTAAAACGTTTTTTATTAAGTTTTTTTTTCTACGTACTCTAAAGTAATACTTTTTTACAATAGAGCTGTATGACTAAAAACCATTGCACATCGATAAACGTGATAATACATGTATAATAGTGCGGAATAGTTGGATAAGACTTTGGACACAATTTCAATTAATTCATAAAAATTTTATTTAGGCATTCAATTAAGTCAAATTTAATGTAAAATTGCATTGTCTTAATGTCTTGATCCCACGTGCCAACGATTGAACAAATATGTCAGAAGTGCCCGAAATTTCACTTGGGCGTTTCATCTAGACTGACTACTGACGACAGAGGCAGCAAGTTAAATAAAAGTTTGTAAAAAATAGATAAACAGAAACATGAACATAATTTAAACTTGGATGTTGTTTATATGTAAATACACTTAAAACGTGTCGAATTAGCTTTATTTTAATTTTTTTACAGTGGAATATTTAGCAGTAATCTAGATATACATTTAGAAATAAAACTATATATTGGCTACGATCTAGCAACTAGATTCACCTGATATGCAAAGCAAATATCTGGAACAACAAGTATAACATCCATCCAGGAATGTGGACTGAAAGTAAAAACATCAGGACCTAGCATGGAAGTTTGACATTTCTAAATTGTATTTACCACCAGGAAATAAATACGCGGACTTCAGGAAACACACATTTTTTTTTAAATTCTAAAATGTTCTAATTTACTGCTTTTAAAACTGAATTTAGTTGGTGAATTTTAAACTCAGACAGATGCTTATTTCCATAACAAAAGTAGAAATCGCTGTTGAAAAACAAGACGATTATTCGATAAAACATGTTTACTGCATGAAGTTTTTTAATATATGATTCATATATATTTTAATTAAAATAAATAATAAGTTTATTAAGTTACAAATCCCACATAAAATTTAAAATGATATGCAGTTGATCAGACAGGAATGAGATTTATCATTACTACAAAACAAAGCATGAGTGAATTGGACATTTACGAAATGTTTTTATTTGCTAAGTCTTTCTTCTTCTTCTTCTTCGTTCTTAATTATTAGTGTCGAAGGGGATCGAGATTTATCTGCCAGTGGGTTTGAACTCGAGACTGTTCGAATTTATCAACCATGAGCTATTTGCTAAGTGAGTGGTTAGTATTACATATTGGAACAGATATATATATATATATATATATATATATATATATATATATATATATATATATATATATATATATATATATATATATATATATATATATATATATATATATATATATATATATATATATATATATATATATATATATATATATATATATATATATATATATATATATATATATACGTCGCCCAACCATGCGGGACACCACACACACACGCCTACTCGCTAACCCTCCTCCCTTCTCCGCCCTCTCTCTCCTGGCATGCTCTATATTGTGTACCCACCCACCTCATTAGGACAACTGTCTTTCAGGAAGTCTTCACCTGTCACTAAATAGCAGCGTATGCTATTAATAAGCTAAAATAAAGATATATTGAATCACGTTTTTCTATTAAATTAATTGCCATCATATAGCAATAAAAATTTCTATCCTACCGAATAGCAATCTTTCCTTGGTTATCATGAGCCTGGACATATTTGATGGCGACAAGTCCAACAATGTAAAATACACCAACAACACCGATGATACTAGATTGGAAGAAAATAGTAAGTTGACATCGAATTCATTTAAATTTCAATAAGGTTACTTGTTAATTTACAAGGGTAATGATGTTACGCTGTGTTATTTTAAACATCAATTTATTAAGCTTTGCAAATATTCAGAGGCGTAGCAACCCTTCCCGGCGCCCGGGGACTAACTTTCGATTTGCACCCCCTCGAACTTTTGATTTGCCCCCCCCCCCCCTCAAACTTTCGATTTGCAACCCCCTCCCCCCTCAAACTTTTGATTTGCACCCCCCTCAAACTTTCAATTTGTTTTCCAACTCATTTTGGCGCCCCCCTAAGGTCGGCGCCCGGGTACATATGTCCCCCGCCCCTCCCCCCTCGCTATGCCTCCGCAAATATTTCACACTGACCCCTTTTTTGACTTAAGGATTGACTTCTGTTTGTTTTTATATCAGCTGATGCCTAACACCGTTGATATAATGTACATAATTGCAGGGTTTTATGTCAACAAACCAAGATATAACTTATTTACTTCACACAGTAGTCAAATAGGTCTAGGTTCAATTATTTGTATACACTGTTTTTTAATTAAAAACAATCAAGTTAATTAAAAACTACGTCAAATAAATATAAACTAAAATTTTACCGGGCAAAGAAATTTGAAAGCTCAATTTAACCTACCTCGTATATCTTAAAAAATCAATTCTTTTAGGAAAACACATTGGCAGTATGAAGGCTATAGACGTGACTGATATCATAAAGGTTCTGGTCATGTAAAATGGATTTGTAGTACAGTAAGTGTCACGGGCTATATTTAGAAAAACTGAAAGCAAATATTGTACAAAAATCTATATATATAATTCTCTTCTTCGAGCCGTTAGAAAACAAGCTGCAAACGCTCTCCCTACCTCCCCACCCCTACATGGTTTTAGTGAGCTGTGTTCACTCTAAATGTTTACAAGCAGAGCCAACGATTTTAAACGTAGGGGGGGGGGAGGAGGGGGGAGGGAAGGAAGGGGGGGGGGGGTTATGGTCCTTAACGAGGTACTTATAGTGTTTTAAAGAAATATTTTCAGTGTCAGCGTTGGTACTGTCGAATTCACAAATTATGAATTATTGAAAATTAGAAACAACTAAATAGCGGCGTATGTTATGCCGCGGGCCGGCTCGTAAATTATAATCGATTAAAATGTAAGTTGTTACGTTTTAAAGAATATCATGCTGTATTGTTATACCATGCTTGATTTGTGTGCATAAAAAAGGTAATTAATTATTCTCTCCGGTAACTGATTTTTAAAAATGCTTATCTTTATAGCTGACATTTACTCAGCTTGCACTAAATGTTCTGATAAATGAAAATAGATAGATATATCTTTTTTTCCCTTTTTTCCCTTCAATAATTTTACTTTCAATTAAAACAAATTACACCATGTGTGTGAATATATTATTCTTGAGTAACATTTTAAAAGTTTACACCAATCTTAGTTTCATAAGCATAAACTATTAGCTTCATTACTGCAACCAGTATTTAGCTAGAGATGAAACTCAAGTCTTGTAAATATTTGTTTTATGATTGAATTTATTGAGTTCAAGTCAAGCTTGTCAGATTCTAGAAAAAGGAAAAAAAATCTCACCAAGCTCCCATATGTCACCGATTATAACCAGGAACGATATACAAGTACAAAATGCTGTCATTAGTACACAAATAGCACAAGCCAGTTGGGCTTTAGGGCCACATATAGCCAGGACCACGTCTTGGTAGGTGTTGCTTCCCTTTATATCAGAACAGTGGATGAGGGTGTACAGAGAGGGCAGGATAAACACAGGTACAACCTGTCGATACAATGTGTTGTCATTTTACTTAGCCATGATACAATTGTAATACATTTATTACTTTAAAAACAGTTGTTTTTTTTTTTACATTGAGAGAAAGACTCAAAGAATGATAAGAAGTGTTTTGTTCGGACTACTTCTCCGAGGGGAGTTGTGGGCCTTTGTATTATTGGGACTGGCGGACTAAATTTTCTATATTTATATCTATATATATAATTCTCTTCTGGGAGACGCTAGAAAACAAGCTGTAAACGCGCTCCCTACCACCCCCACCCCTACATGGTCTTATGAGGTGTGGTTCACTCTAAATGTTTACAAACAGAGCCGGGTTTAGTGAAGACTACTAGGGGCAGATCATTTAGTTTGAAACGATTTTAAACGTGGGGGGGGGGGGGTAACTAAGTGGAGTTTACTTTAACGGAGGGGGGGTGAGGAGGGGGTATCGTCCTTAACGAGCTACTTATAGTGTTTTAAAGAAATATTTTCAGTGGCAGCGTTTGTAGTGTCGAATTCACAAATTATGAATAACTGAAAAGTAGAAAAAAAACAACAACTAAATAGCGGCGTATGATATGCCGCGGGTCGGCTCGTAATAATATAATCAGAAACGTTTCTCTTGTCCAGCGAAATTAAAAAAGAATTTTGCTACATAACATACAATATTTTCTTTACTCACAAGTATCTTCACTTCAATAGTTTTTTTGTTTTTATAATGACTTAAAAAAAATTACTGTCAGATATTTGTTTTCATTTTTTTTCTAAACAGTCGAGCTTAAACATTTCATCAAACAGAAAACACTTTTGTTAAACATCGTCGTCGCTTTCACGAACCCTATTGTTATTCTTATCGTTATCCCTATTGCTAAGCTTATCACCATTTCTTTCGCTATCGCTATAACACTATTAAAATCACTTCTTCTTCTTCGTTCTTAATTTTAGTGTTGAAAGGGATCTGCCAGAGGGTTTGAACTCGAGACTTTTTCGGATTATCAACAATTAATTTTGCCGACTCGACCACGCTTTCATCACAATTAAGGATTATGTGTCAACTGGTTATGCGCCATTGAGGCTATTGACCCCGATTTCAGCCTGCTTTTCTTTTTGGATTTGCTTCCATAGCCTTTGTCCAACCAAGAACAAACTACAAGGCAGCAGTTGTTTGATTTTGGAGTTGTCTCTCCTAGAAGAGTGGCTGTCCTCAACTAACGAGCTTCATCTGCCCGAGAGTTCGAACTCGAGACTTTTCGGTTTAGCAACCACGAGCTTTACCGACTCGACCACGCCGACCCGTAAATGAAATAACAAGTGTTATTAGCTCTATGTGCAATTACTAGAAGGGTGGCACAGAGGGAAGATATTTGATGCCGGGGTTTTTAATGTCTGATGCCAAGCCAAAAACAACTTATGTCAACCTACAGAACGTAAATTTAGACCTAGGATAAACTCACGAGTTGTAAAAAGATCCCAATGAACACCCCGCCAGCATGATGGTAGGAGATGGGGAGGTTTAAAAGTGCACCTCCTACTGTACTGTTGAACAGCAGAAATGCCAAGACGAACCATCCTGAACCTGGTAGCAAAATTGTGTTGTTTTTTTTTTTAATTATTATTATTTTTGATTTTGAATAACGTGTCCGAAATATCAACACTTACTAGTGCATTAGGGATTTTTTTATAATGACTTATAATTAGACTAAAATGCATTTAAGCAAATTAAAACATTAATTTTATGCTTCACTAAAAAGAGTTAATTCGGTTAATGTTTAAATTCTCAATGAGTGTATAATAGTGCGCCACATTTGCACTATATAAATACATATGCGTTTTTTTAAATCGGAAATAGCGTACAGTACTATTTCCGTTCACCAGAAATAACTCAAAATGTAATAGAAAACAATGATAAGATCCTTAAATTATTTTGAAATTTCGTCTTAAGTAATTGGCTTTTGAAAAAAAAAGAAAGTAGAATAAGCTCCATTTATGTTTACTGGAAACCTCTGAAAACTTTATACAGAACTACACATACTTATGCATGCAATTTTATCAACATAGTTGTAACGGTACTCATGTTATCGTGTTCACAGACACAAGCACATACAAACACGCACACACACGCATGCACACACAGACAAGTTTGCAAAATTATGATTGATATGAGATATGTGAAAATCATGATTTCAGTTTTTGCACGATTATGAGAAATTAAAAAAAAACATCACCTAAATTTTTATTTGTAAGTGAGCTGCTATCTGCAATTGACTTTAGCTCTTCTTTCACATCAACTGAGCTTTCCCATTTACCATTGTTTACTTGAACGCCCATAGTTGACCTGCAATAATTAAAACTAAAATAGTAATATCACCATTAAATTTGGATTTTCAAAGGAGTAAACGATACGGTTATGAATTAATAATGACTACTTTGGCTTAGTCATGCCGGTAGAGTTTATATTTGCCTAATTGTGCCAAAATATGTTGAAAAGGATCACTTAATTGTGTTCGAGAAAAAAAACCATCAAATATTATAATTCAATTTGAAGAAAATTAATGCATGATGTGATGATTGATAACAATAGTGTATTTCAAATGGCACGTTTTCATATAGTTAACTACGTATGTGCTGTATGTTTTCTTTATACATTTTAGTGGAACACACATGAAATCATTTACCGGACCGAATTATATTATGTTTTCACCTGCATTTAGCTAAGCTAGTGCATTTTATTGGTCGAATTAAAGTAAGTAAAACAAACCTACTACTGTAGCCGTATTATGAATAACACACTAAAACATAAATAGCTTAACAAAGCCACGGTCTATCCTGTATAACCACACACCGGCCACTTCCATGTAATTAACCAATGGTATACATAACAATACAGAATCAATAACTCAAATTTGATAGTTTTCTTTATGTATCGTGTCAAATACAACCTCCACGAGAATAACCAATATTAACAGCTGAACTACGTTGACCTAACTGAACACAATACTAACAGCTGAACTTCGCCCTGCTGATATACTTACACCTGGCACAACCCGGCTACGGTTCAATGTGAAATTCTCTCTTTCAACTCAGCCGGCCTTGTCATCTTATGTATCGAACACAAAGGCTTAATAGCTCGCATAATTATGTAAAATAATAATAGCTAATGATTAATTAATTCACCCGCATAATACATTCAATTATTTTACGGCAGGACATTCAAGTGAAAAAAAGTGGTTGTACAGGTAAAGTAGTGAAAATTCCAATATAAAACTAGAAAATTGTTCAATATATAATTATCAAAACGACAACAAATCTCTCGAGATATTTAGTTAGCTATTAGATGCTCTACAGCCCAAACACACCAATATAACCGGACCAAAATATTTTTCACTCGGATCACAGAGCTTCAATGTACAATAAAAACTCTAAGTTTTACCTAAATATGTTTCATATGTTAATCGTTAACTTATTTATACATATTTAGATAGGTATATGTGGGCACAGTAGGTGAACCAATAATTTACACTTTCCAAACAGCAAGGTATTTATATTACAAATAGAATGTAGAGTTATAATTAGTCAATTTTATTTTTGTATCCCTTTCTTTCACTAGTTCAACACTAACTGAGCCAAAATTATTATCACATTGTCTATTTTTGTGCGACAAATTATTTCTTCTTCTTCTATGCCTTTTCTACTCCCAATATTGCATGGACTGTTTGTAACACCTGTCTAGGATTTTTACTTTCGCGTAAATAGAGTATAGAGAAATTATTGTAGTCGTGCATAAAATAAATTAAATTGAATTGTAATAGTTTTCGCCATTTAACACTTGCCCCCTCCCCTCCAATGTATCCTAAACAGAATGTAAAGCATGCATTCTAATCGGACAAATATCGGAATAGATATTTTAATAACCTGTCTATCCGTACCTGTACATATAGTAAATTGAATACCGTTTTGGTTATATTGCCACATTTCATAGATAAGTATTATATCAAATCTATAGTTTTGTCTAAACTTTTGTCTACTTATGGTCTCTCAAAAGGTGATAGCTTTAAGTACCATCAAAGTTAGGTAGACAATTTAAACTAGATTAAATGTAGAGCTCCTTTCAAATTTTGTAAGAACTCCGTTAACCGGAAGTTGCAAGTTGCTATATTTTAACTTTGAGACATTGAGTGGACTGTTTGACTCCAATCGGGCAGAGAAATAAACTAAAGCGATCTCCTTCCCTGCTTAGATATATCTTGTCTATTGGTTTAATACAACCTTGACAGCCAGTGTTTGCAATGTCAATGTTCACATTACAAATAGCAATATATAAAAATAAAAAGAATGACAAATGGGAAGGGCTAATAAATATAAAAGATTAATAGCAGCATCGATTTTAAAAGCCCACTGTAATGTTTTCACTACTCTAGTCCATTCATGATTGTATGCAATAAACGAATTGAATTTAAATGTAAACCCAATTATCCGTAAAACGATTTGGTGTCTAATAGCTTTTATGTCGTTCAACTTCTTAATTTTCATGGAATATCGTATCATGATGATATTTAAAATGTACCTTAAACGAAATACATAAATTAAAGAAATAATTATTTATGTTTATTTTGTATGTTTTATGATTACAGAATACTACCATGAAAATTTAGGAAAAATTGTATCCGGCATGCTATTGTAAACAATGACTGAAGTTACTGAAATCAATGGATGTTATGAAAATGTTGTATCCGGAAATGTAACCAACACAATCAAACCAATTCCAGTGTACATAGAACCTGATGACGAGCCTGCACTATCAGTGCTGTACCACGTGGGGTTGGTGTTCTATTACTTTTTCGCTGGTTTCGGATTTTTCGGCGCCACCATTTTGGTTTTAGCCAGGCAAAGGTTAAGCTCAACGACTAACATTTTTCTTTGCTCGTTGTCCATCTTGGATTTACTTTTCACTGGGAGCTACCTAATGGAACACTGTTACTTCTTGTATTTTAGTGAGATAAGCCTGATACTTTTAAACTCAGAAATAATGGAGTTTTCGACAGTTTTGATTAAATACAGTTGGTTGTTTATAACCTTAAGCTACCACCTGTTTGCTTTAATATCTGTTGAAAGATTATTAGCAGTATGTAATAGGATGTAATATGTCTGCTGATATGGCTGGGTCTGCTTTTAGTGCCTCTGATGGGATGCTGTCCGGGCCAGCTGCTTTGCCATTTTTCATGTACTTTATTGCTCTTATTGTTTCTAACTTTGTGAGTGGATCTGTACACACATTTAGTAGGTGGTTTGCAGGTGGTATATCCGGGATGTTTGATGAGAGAGGATGGTTTAAAATCTCCTCAAAGTACCCATCTGTCTCTCTGTTCTGTGTCACTTGTTAAGATATTTCCTACTTTATCCTTTACTGGTTTGTTGGGATTAATATTTTTGCCTGATTTGGCCCTGGTTACTTCATAGAGCCTCTTCATTTTTCCTTGTTGTGCTGCAGTTTCTGCCTCCGCTATCATCTCTTGTATGAACTGTCTTTTATCTTCTTTTGCACTTTTCCTGACCATGCGATTTATTTCTCAAAAATGTGTTCTGAGGTTTATTTTCTCTTTTTTATCCTTACATTTGTACTGGTAGTATGGTTTATCTCTTTTCATTTTTTTTCTTCCCAATATGTCAGTGCATGTTGACTTCGGTAGTTACTGTATACAGAAATACATACTTAACCCTTAATTTTCGGAATTAGATTCTGAATGAAATTTGTTTCTTAAACAATGTGTTATCATATTGCTTTTGGCACACTTAAAGCATATGTCGAAGGAAATTTCGTTTCATAAATTTTTAATGGCCCAAACATACATTGGTACTTATCAGAACCGTCAGGAATGTAGGACATTTTTCAAAAAAAAAAATTTACAAAACAGGAACAAGTGATACAATTTATTAACATGGCAATCATTATAACAATACTTTTTTTGTAATTTTCATACATAAATATAGCACAAAAGAATATTTTGTGTACGATTTTTACTGAACTTTATATCGGAACACATCTTAAACCTGGAACACAGCAAAAGTTTCCGAAAGGTCATGCTTCCTCCATCTTATCTGTGGTATTTCTGGTGTAGCAACGGTTGCAGGACTGAACATGCTTTTGCTGGAAGTTTCCAATAGCTATTACAATGAGCCGCATAAAAAACAAAGCCTAGTATGTCTGTGTGTCTGTGTGTGTGCGTCTTTTATGCATTACTACACCTCTCATCACACCGCAGTGAAACTTTAGAAAGTTGTTGTGAATATTCTTGGAGAGGTTTCTGCTGAAAAAACATTTCAAATTCACATTGGTGGCGCCCCGGCAGGGTACAATTTGTTTTTTTCCATATACGGTATTTAAAAATAAAAGTCGATTTTGGTTTAACGTCATTCATCCGATAGCCATCAAACTTTGGAGAGTTCATTATAACACTCTAGGGAAGGGTTCTGTAAAAAAATAATTTCTAATTTCGCAAGGTCGGCGCCACGGGAGGGTGTGATTTTCCTCTATATATGGTATATAAACATAATAAAAGTGAATTGCAGTGGCACCGTTCATCCGATAGCCATGAAACTTTGAGGAGTTCAATATAAAACTCTAGGGAACGGTTCTGTAAAAAACAATATTTAATTTCGCAAGGGCGGCGCCACGGGAGGGTGCGATTTGGCTGAAAATAAAAATGTCAGTTTCGGCCCCCAAAGGCTCACGTGGGCCGCTGAAAGCCATGTAATACGTTTTATTTTAATAATCAGAAAAAGTAACCAAGGTTAGATTATTAACTGAGATGTTTCTTTTTGTCCGTAAAAAAATCCAAACAGCTTCGAACTTTGCGAATGATGCAATTAGCATATATTTTTAGATAATCCAATAAAAAATCAGATCGAGCATCTAATAATAGACCATCAGTAACGCTAACATATTGCATCAGTCACACTGATGTTTAAAGCACGTCAAAAAAATTTTACGTGTTAAGTAAAAAAACGGTTCATTTGTTTCACTTTAGCGAATGTCGCAATCTGCATCATTGCTAACAGGATGTTATTTGGCATGATGGCGCATGTTAGTTTTAAGGAGCCAGAAGCCGTACGCGCGCCTATGCGTTAGTGTAATGGAAGAGGGGGGGGGGGCTTCTGAGAGCGTCCCTGACACATGGGTGGTCAACGAAGTGTGTTCCACGTCATTATTTCGGTGAGTGATTAATGTACAATTAAGGTGTTCATGCAGTTGTGTAGGTAAACCCGTGTTCCGATATTTATTATCCAAGCGCAGGCATTGTTTACATTTAAACAACTCAGTATTAGAAAACAAGATCACTCGTCTAAGAATATAGGATTGGTAACGCATGGATGAATCCCTTCTTATATATTATTTCGTCGGACTTTCTTCTATTCTCGCGACAACGGTCGGGGAACGGTACGCTAGTATATATATATATATATATATATATATATATATATATATATATATATATATATATATATATATATATATATATATATATATATATATATATATATATATATATATATATATATATATATATATATATATGTATATATATATATATATATATATATATATATATATATATATATATATATATATATATATATATATATATATATATATTCTATTACAACATAATTAATAGGTATTATTAGACTGTTTTTTTTACATCAGGCAAACTACACAAATTCTTAATTTTTTTGAGATGCAAACGATGTACCATTTAAAAACACAAACCTGTGAATTTAAAGTTTAAAAAAAAACATGCTTAACACAGCGTCAACTTACCTTGTCTAGGTCCATGGAGTGTGATGTCGAATGTGTAAAGAAACGTTACACAGACGGCTGTAGAGCTTTCAACTGGTTCCCCTCAACACGTCTGTGTCAACTGTTGAATATTGATATGAGAGTTGTAAATGTTGTGGCAAAACTTACTACAGCACAAAATGTCAATTTCTATGATATTAAATATTAGAGAAGCATGTGCCAAGCTATACCTGAAGATAATTTTTTATATAAACTCGCAGAAAGATTGTGTATTTATTATAAAAGCATAATGCAATCCTTATTTGTTTATAAATCTGAGTGGGGTAGAGTAAGGACCACATCTCACCTAAGCACAATACCACCCACAAGACAACTGAACAATAATACGATAACCTACAACATACGACACACTTTAAAAGACAAATTCCACGATTCACATTCCTTAAATCACAAAAGTGAACACAGTAACAGCACATTTTACATAGAAGTTAACCTGTCGATGAGCGAAGACTTATGTTTCATGGTTTATTTCTTCAACATTCTCGTATCTCTCCACACATTCAGGCTCCTTCTATTTCTGGTTTGATTGTATGTTTTATCCAGGGATTTCATGCAAGTGGTTTTGTTACTAGGGCTGGCGTCGAGGATAGGAAGTATTTTTGTTGAATAAATGTTTTGTATTTAGATTTTACTTTTAAATTTGATGCCGTGGTTTTTTAATTTATAAAACAAACGTTTGCAATATTTTATTCATATATAAAGATAATTTCCCTTTATCATATCAATTTTATGTTTTTTTGTGTCTCAACATGTTACCTAGCAAACGACACCTGACATTCATGTTTTTTTACGTCGCTGACCACACACAAAGCCACTCCATTCTTTCAAAATGTAATTAATTAAAACACATAATATGTGTCATTTACTTCTCTACTCGATACCAATTTTGCTGTCACCATCACAAAGCACCTAGAGATTCATATAGAGATTCATTGAGATTCAAACAAACATAATTAAATGCTGACGTGATAAAGACGTAGACAAATAAAAAAGTATATTTAGATGTATTGATTGCCATGTTGAATATTAACTTGAATGTTATGAGCTGCGCCTCGCTGTTAGAATTTTCTAACTTCTCTTAGAAGTTTCTCGGCGTTTTATTGTAACGGTTATTAGATCATGACATCACCCTTGGAAATTGTTATTTTAATAGGTTCCAACTTTAGCTTAAAGCTATTCTTGCAAGCCATTGGGAATTGAGTATAAACTTTTATAAGTTTTCACTATCACCGAACGTTTGTAGTTACGATGTGAATGAAACAGTTTAAGCAGAGAATTCAACAAATGAAACATTACTTTCCCGGGTATATGTTTAATCAATCGGAAACCCATGTTACAAAAAAATCAAAGAAAAAAAAGTGCAACATAAAACAGAACATTGAAAATTATTGTCTGGGATTTCCGAACAACAATATTTTTTTATAACTAACACAATATTGTAAATATAAGGATACAAGGATTTAAACTCCACTGTTTTGAAACTGAAGCGTAACTTTTCTTGAAATATTAGGGCTCTTTGAGGACATTTAACATAAATGTATCGAAAAGTTAAAATTACTCTTTCTCATTGAAAGTTAATATACTACCCGACGTGTTTTTGAGAAGATGATTTAGGATACAAGTTTGCAACCTGATTTTCGCATGTGTGTTTAAATTACAACATATAGTACGTATAGACCAATTTTTATTTAAAGGACATTTTTGGGGAGAAATATCTTGTTTTATTTTTGAAAACATCATTTTAAAGGCTGAATTACGCAAGTTAATACTGTTTGGTATTGGTGAATACTGTCAGATTTATAATAAAAAAAAAGGGTTATGTTGGCAACTGAAACCTATCTGGATAGCCAGTCTTTGACTTGTTGTATGACAGATCTTCGACTACCTGGCTGACTGGCGTATGTCATGTATCGATGGAAGATAAATTGCTTAATGAAAGGCCTAGGAATAGCTTGATGCAGGCGTTTGTTTTGGTTCGATGAGCGACACCATTTGCATGGCTATAGCATTGCCCGGCAAATTACTTTATATATTTTTAAAAATCCGTTTATTTTCTACTACTTTTATAATACCTTATATGATAATAACTTAGATTTTTTTTTTCTGGTTCACGCAACGGCTGTTTGTTGTTTCGTACTTCCACAAACCCGGAAATGAAATTTTCGTTGAGTGCTTACTACAAAAATAACATATCCCTAAATGTTTTTTCCGAATTTGACCCGAAGTACGCAATTTCAGAAAATATTTTTAACTACGTTAATTTAATTCTATTTGGTTTTTTGAGTGTCATTGGAATAATGGGAAATTGTTTGACAATAACGGAAATGACCATTCGAGGAATTAAAGAACCAAGAGACGTTATCATTGCAACCTTGTCTTGTACACATCTGTTGTTTTCAGTGACTGGGGTTTTAAATGTAGTTTTAGTGATATGTTCCCAGCACTGCTATACTGTGATGTACAGTACACGACTTGAGTATCTGAACTTTGTCGTTTTTCTAAATCGTTGTGCGATTCTTGCAAGTTTTCATCAGGTGGCTTTGATAGAAGTTCAGAGATTTGTTTTTGTTTGCTTGCCGTCACGTTTTTCAAGATTGTTCTCTGCTACACAACTTAAGATTATGGTCGCTTTAATTTTCATCTATGTGATAGCTGCATGTTTATTTGAAAATAAATTCACAGAATATTATTTGAACAAAT